TTCGTTGGGTTGTTTGTTTATACCATTTCTCTCATTTTCACGATACATTTGACTTGACTTGACTTGATATCGGTCAATGAATGACCAGTAGTGTTCTTGTGTAAATACCTTGCTGACAGCATTCATATTGTGCTATGTTTCAGATTGAATGATACTAATCATAAATTTACTTCTGGTACACCCGATTACGAGGTTTGATTTGTGAATCTTGGTGTGCATACAATACTGATGAAAATATTCAACAAGTGCGAAGAGTCTGTTTCATGAACAAGGATTTCAATTGGCTAATCGCATAGAAGTAACAGCCGTTCCTGTAAGCATCCAGAGATTATTTGTGCTGGTACGCAAAATTGGTGTTTCTTGATCTAGAGCACAAAAAAAGACGAGTCATAATGCGGGGAGTTCGTTACAAGTGGACAATACTGTTTCTTTCAGCCTGAGATCCATATTTGTCCCAGTACCTTCGGTGGCGATCGTGTTTGTGGAGGGAGAGGGGATAGAAAACCTGCAAGAAACCTACTAATACCTGTAACTGAATTATTTAGTGGAATCGACCTGATTCTGCGCAAAAATAATTTGGTCCCGAACTCCTGTTTCCTGGTAATCAGTTTATTCTCTATGGTTTTGGAAGGATGCTCTAAATCATTACCCTCACTCATGTTTCAGGTAATATCCGGACTTGGTATGTGATTATTTGGATTGTTTATGAACTAAAAGAGCTCCATTGTAACGGTCGAATGATCGTCAAACTAGAGCACTGCTGTCCACATGATCAAATTGATAAATGCTCATGACATGCTGACAGTCAACTACTCCCTGTTCCAGTTGAAGGGTCGCATGGATCCATTTTGTGGCTGCTCCAAGGTTGGTGTCTTTCGTTTGAACGCCGATTGTTCCCATCGAATGGAGTGGGTTATGTGTCACGGTCGATTCAAAGTTTTCGTACCACTCCTCAGCGGTTTGAATGATATCACACTTAAGTGTACACATTTCGAAGCTGAACTACGTATCGTCTACCGTGTACCCGTATCTGAAACTGGATACTGTGTAAAACCGGTTTATGTGATTTGTTCCGACGGACCGGAACAATTCGAAGTTCCCAATACGACCACGACTGAATGTGGTCCCCAATCGGCCGGGAAACGAATCTCTCTCGCCATGTGTTTACTTCAGTCACTGATGGCAGAAAGTCTACTTGCTGAGTTGGGCCAACGGCATACGTTTCTAATTGACTATGGTGTGTTGAATGGGGAAGCANGCCCCATGCATGATTCACCGGAGCAGCATGTCTCGGACGGAAGTGTACGCGAGTGACCCGAAGTGTGTCTGGAAGAGACTAGCTTACGAATTCCATTCAGCGTATCCCGCACGGTTCGAGCAAACCAAATGGGTGGCGTTTATGGCATGCACACGCTTTAACTCACCCGGGATGGCCACGTCCAACGAAGCCGAATACAGGGAGATGCTTGGAAACACACAGGGCTATTTTGCTTTGGGTAGGCAAAACCTAAATATTTGATTTTCATTTCTTTGTTTATTTGGATGATTCGCCGCATTTGGTGAATGATGATTCTTGAATGCAATCTTCATCTTCATTTGTTTCGCTTTGGAACAGACTGTCCACCATCCTCTGAAAACCACAATATGCAAATAATCTGTTCGCTACATTTGAAATAAAATACGGACAGTGTTCAGCTGCATTCACAAGAGTCTGCTATGGTTGTTCGAGACATTCAGACCAATGACTGCGTTTGTTTGCACTTGCAGAAGTGTGAGACTAACGATCAGAATTAATTGAACTACAGAAAGAGGGTGAATGAACGATCTAACGCAGGTTCTGAGAACCCGAACAGTGATGCTCGTAGATGATTCGAAAATCTGGAATACAGTGACGAAATCAGAAGGCTCACCGATACTTTGAAGGTCACTCAACGCAGCTTATCAACATTCATTCGGAAATGGCGTCTAATTCCGCGCATTGAAATGCACGGCCATATAAATACGGTCCTCAAAAATGGGTTTCCGTACTCCTTCGAGTATCATCAAGTGTCACAGGCCTCCAAGTTCAGGGAATCTTAGTGTCGTCGATCAGGACGACTCAAGCTATCGAAATAACTGCTCGAAGACATTGTTAGACACCGTAGCTCTAAAGAATATTGGTCTTATTAGACTTGAATTTGGTAAACATGAGCGAATGTTATTCCCATTTTTTCTATCAGGCAACATTCCACTCCACATTGAGTATGCTATTCAAGCCTGGAATCCATGGCTACAGTTCGATCACAAGGTTTTGAAACGTCTACAAATAGTGGTCAATACCCATGTGGAAGACCGTCGTCATTGACGCCAATCAGTAACACTGAATTCGAGGAGACTTGATTTTAGTGTAATAAATACAGCGGAACCGGAACCATCCATGTCGTCCACTGCTCACGTTATCGCCAAATATATACACCCAAAGATGTTGACATTAGTGCCACTTTCAGTCCTTTGCCATCAGAATGTGCAGTATTGGAATTCCCTACCGGCTTACGCTGCTGGTGCACCCACAACATTTTCCTTCAAGCAAAGGATTGTTGACATGCATCACATTTTGACATCCCTGAAAGTACATTGAACAGTGAGACTGTGCGCCCCTTCTTTTACACGTGAATGGTATGTGTCGTTTCTCTTTGTTTGGATAATGAATTCATTTGTGCCAATCGCCTTATGGGTAGAGAAAAGCAGCAGATTTCTGAACATATCCAACGGTAGAGCTTTAATTACCAATTAATCATCAAAATTTGACGAGACCATCATTGTGGGTGAAGGTGTGTTTGGTCTGGTGGTGCGATCGATCTGGCGATGCTTCATGGATCGAACTCGAGGATGGGAGGCACGTAAACCGATTGGCAAACTTGGTACGCATCACGGTGGAAAAAGGTTAACAAAAATCGCAAAATGAATCGTTTCGGAAATCAGCCAATGATTCAGGCTCTATGTCGCGACGTAATTAACACCCATCTATTCAGCAGTGCGATGAACTTAGTTCTCAACCGATGTTTTACTCACTCTCTTGGCGTAATATCAGTGATTTAATGCGCAATAGGGTTAAACATTAAACATTTATCGGATGATACTTCGATTTGCAGTATGCTAAGTTATGAATACACCTCTCCGAATTTTCCGTGGTGCAGTTCGCAGTTTTAAGCTTCTTGGAAATCTGGGACGATCTGTTTGTGGTCTTTCGTGTGCTGCTCATTGCAAACTGGTACTCTGTTTTGGGAACCTACATGGTATCCAGTGGAGGTGGAATTTTAAAATTCAGTAGACTTTTATAAGTTTGTGTGTGATGTAAGTGTGCAGCCTGGAACCTCAGTTGCTAAGATGTGCACTGTGCAGAAGGCGTAGGCTGCGTCTCTGTACGCGCTGGAATACCACGGAAACTATCGATCTTTTCAAATTCCGAAACTTAAGTCCAATATATGCTACACAAGGATTTTATGTTGTCGTCTTTGTTTCACTGTATCCGTAGATATGATCGTCAAGGGATGGATATCATAATAAGCCAGACGAATTCTAAGCACTTTATCAACATTGAAGAGTCATTGTTCAAAATGGTTGATCACATCTACCTGATTATTTCCCCCATAAATTGAAGCATGAAAACTAGACAGATATTGGCATCAAATGGAAGCGTCTTTATTTTCCAGGGTCTGGTGGTTTAGCATTGCTTGGCACAGGCACATTACATACGTGGCCAGAGGACCTATCTGGCTTGCAAAGTGCATTGCTAGATACACGCAGAGTTGATGAATGTGGAATGATGGATGATACTGCCTACCGGTAAGTTATTCCAGTATCTTAACTGTTGCGAAAATCGTATGCTGAAGGTCGTTTCTGTGCCCCTTGTTTCCATTTTGCGCAATCACGGACGATACACATCTTGGTCTTTGCACAACTGGTGCACTGTAGCGTCTAAATGATGATAAATTTTCGTCCATCGAAATACTTTCGGAAATTGCACTAACTCGTATGGCAAATTGTGAAGTATTCGGCTTTGTTTCGAAAGGTACGAGTAGTAGTAGTTAAAGCTTGGTGGAGAAGTGCTAGTACTGTGAGCATAAATGCGCTGTTTGTCACAGGGCTGATTATCCCTTCTTTTCAAGATTGAATCTTTCGGAACTCCGAGACAGCTCCCGTCATGGCTTTCTGACTTTCCCAGAGAGGTTTCAATCCAATGAAGTGTGAAAGAGGACAGCCAAGCCTGTTATTAATAATTCTGGTGTGCTTCAAGATGCTGTTCTGTCTCGTTTCTCCTTTTATTCGTGATCTTCCGATCCCACCCCATGCACAAATCCAAAGGTGTGCTGATGACGTCATCTTGTGTCGCACAATCTCATCTCCTGAATTCGATTCTTTCACTGAGAATCTGTCCCACATCCACCAGTCTTCCAACCAATTCGGTTTCATTCTTAACATATCTGAATACCTAGAATGTATCTTCAGTTTTTCCCGTTCCTCATTTCTAACGGAATCTGGTACCCGTAACTTTAAACCTACGTCCAGAATGATCTCAATAAAGTACCTGGGTATATATATATATTTACCACCGTACCTGGGTGTCACCATCGACGGTAATCTCTGGTGCCCATACTCATTTACAATTGTTTGAGAAAACTGCGATGCCTCTCTTTTGAGTTACGCAAACTCGGGTGATTCCGAACCCCACACTCAGTTTTGCCCTCTTTCATTCATCAATGCGTTTTCCCCATTCTGCTACTCTATTGCTCGTCTGTTGAGTTTCCCGGGTTGAAAACAAAACTTCAAGACCACTCGTCGCGAATTGGTGATATTCAGTCGTGCATCATTAATTTCAATCGAGTCATTAATCACAGAACTCAATAACGATCACATCATCTCTTTTATTAAATTTGTCAATACGAGTCTAGAAGACCTGTTCATGCACTGCATTCCGATGCATCATCTTATCGTTAGCATCCGTCCACATTCTGCTTATTTCGGCATCTACACTCGTATTAGCATTGATAAGAATTCCCCTCTACATCGTGATCGAAAAATAGTTGCAAGTTCGAACAGGTAACCATTGATTCTAATTTCATCAAACTGGACTAATGATGTTGCCGTATCTTACGTGCACCGTTCTTAGTTAGGGTTTGTTGGCTGCATTTGCCATTATTTCTTCTATGCAGATGTCAGTTTCATTTGAAGAAATAGGTATGTGGTAATTTAAATATGCACCCCCAATGAATCTGGAGTTCACTTCGTTATCACGTGTCGATTTCAGCTTCCTCTTCAGTTTATTTTATCCATTATTATTGGCTAGTCCAGGGGTTAAAAGGAATAGCAAACTAAGAGGACGACCATTGTCTCTGTTCTCCCGTTATCCTTCCGGTTGAGTCATTTAACAGCTCACTATATTTCCTTCGGTCGTTTGATAACCGAATTTTGACCGGTGAAAACAAATTCCAATCCTGTTCTGCTCTGACGTGTTGCTAAACTATGAGGAATTTCTCGCTCCGGTCCTTGCATAACTCTCTCCCCCAGTCACACATTCTGGGCTGCATTCGCAACCGGGCTGGGAAGCGTATGGCATGAGTTGGGACATTGTTTTGGACTTGACCATTCCGTGGAGGGAATCATGAATCGTGGTGGAGATGATTGCCACCTGTGCCTCAGTTTTCCACCCCAGGGAAGCAGTTGCACCGACGGATGTGAGGAGATCAAGGAGCGTGTGAAGCCCAATTCGAATAGGACCCCAACTCATGTAAGACATTTTACTGACCATGAGATGATACTTTTACAGACAGCGAATTCCGATTTGGAAAGAGACCAATTTTCGCCCCTCAACTTAGCTTCGTCTTTGTAATAATCTCCGCAGTGTCCACTCTTATAGCGTACTCCCGAGGAGCGGTCGTGCCTGTTGAGTGAACAGATCTTACTGAAGAAAATACGACCAGCAGGTAGCAAACAAAAAGCTCCGCTCTTAGGCCCGTTTTTTATGACCGGTATCAAATGTTCCATTTGTGTGAACATTGTAGGCACGCCACCATACGAGAATCATTTGATAAACAGTATCAGTGGATTTGTAATGAGTAGTATATGAATGAAAAAGTTCCCAGAAGCGAATAGATGGTTTCGCCGTTCTTGCCGCTCGTCAAGTATGCGTGTCGGTAATCTTTTGTCTAGTAATTCTTATACTTGAACTCCCGATGTGAATCATGTAACTCCAGTCGCATTTGCGAAAGACTACCGGACATGCATATGTATGTATATGACGATCGGCAAGGACCGCGAAACCGCTCGTGTGCTTC